TCCGCACAGCAGAGCACGCCCGGTGGAAGCAGGCCAAGCCCGAAGCGTGGATCCACTCCATCTTTCCGCGACGACACCGGGGTAAAACATGTCCAGTACAGCCGTACTCTACAGGTGGGAGCAGGCCTCCGTAGATCGCAGATCGACAGGCAGCAACAGGTGGAGCCGCTCCTTCTCTACGCGACGAGCAGGCCTCCGTAGATCGCAGCTCGCGGGCAGCAATAGGTGGAGCCGCTCCGTCTCTTCGCGACGTCTCCGGGGGAAAGCACAGCCGTACTCGACAGGTGGGAGTAGGCCTCCGCAGATTGCAGACAACTAAAACTACTACTATTATATCTGTAAACATGTTGACAGCACACCTGAAACTGCAAACAAGTTTTATTAATATTCCTTGTGTTATGTTATGGTATGTTCTTTTATTAGTGCGGAACATAGGTGCGGAACTGCCCTTGAAAAGGGTGTCCCCAAACACATAAAGTTGGGTCATGATTATAATACGAGGATTAGTCAGAGCTGTGAAAATAAATATAATATGTTTACAGTAAATAAACAATGTGTTTGCTACAATTATCTCTAACCACCCCCCAGATAAAAACAACAACATATATTTGAATGCAGTGTTATTTCAGACTGGAATATGAATATGAGATTTGGTAAAGGTTGGATGCCCCTTTATTGACCTGTGTATTGTTTCCTAGAACTTCCTAGAACAGGAAGCACATCCTTCACATGATTTAACATTATTCAGGGAGACAATAAAATGACTGTATACTTACAGAACAAATATTACCATTGACCGTAAATCCTTCAATAAATGTGGGCACGATTATTCATATGAACCTTGTTTCAACTCAAAACAGGGTAATGATGTCCCCACATCTACACCTCCCTGATGATGCAATTTCCTGTTCAGCCTGCATTACTACAAGTGATTTCAAGAACACACACACACACACACACACACACACACACACACACACACACACACACACACACACACACACACACACACAACACACACACACAAGCACACACACACACACACACACACACACACACACACACACACACACACACACACGCACGCACGCACGCACGCACGGACGGACGCACACACACACACACGCACGGACGCACGCACGGACGGACGCACACACACACACACACGCACGCACGGACACACGCACGGACGGACGCACACACACACACACACACACACACACACACACACACACACACACACACACACACACAATACCGTCTGAGACCCCCAAATGGTGACCGTAGACCACCGGAAGTACCAGTGCTGAACCTTCAAAATAAAACCAAAATATGTAATAGATAGAGAGAGAGAGAGAGAGAGAGAGAGAGAGAGAGAGAGAGAGAGAGAGATAGATTAGATAGATGGATAGATATAACATGTTTTCAGACTCAGCCAAAAACAAAATGTACACGGATTAAGAGAGTGTTGTACAGACAGGACAAATAATAAATAAATACAAAATAAAAATACACGGATTTTATTTTGAAGGATGTGACCGGATGTTGTGAGCTTTAATTGTGTCAGACTTAACTGTGGGGTCTCGTGCCTGTGTCTGTGCGGCGGAGCAGCGCGAGCCACTCAGACATGTAAACCTCCTTGGAACTCAGAAAATGAAATCGAAACACTTTCACATGAAACACTTTTAAAGTAAAGTCAGAAAAATCTTTTTTTTTGCTCTATCTTTTTTGTTTTTAACTTTTCCCCCCGGAGTTTTCCCCTGAGTTTCCCCCGGTGAGGAGTGTGAAGGGTCGGGTTTGAACTCGCTGACAGTCTGTCTGATTCACGGTTCTGGTTCTGGGTTTGCACCGGAGGAAGCCCCACCACCTGCCCCGTTTCAGTGACGCTGTTTTGGGGTCTTACTAAGTTAAAATGCCCCTGGTGATCCTCCTCCTGTCTCTGATGCTCCACACATGCCGGACCCTCCCCACTCAGTTACCCGGCTTTAGCGCCCTGCCGCCCGGCCTCTTCTCCTCCTCCGACCCGCTGCTGCTGGAGGAGGAGCAATGGGGGGTTTGCGGGCCGTGTGAGGCCGAATTGTGCCCGGAAACAAGGGGCTGCAGGGCCGGCGTGGTTCCCGACTCCTGCAACTGCTGCCAGGAGTGTGGGAACCTGGAGGGTCAGGCCTGCGACCCCCCGGGGGGCTGGAGCGAGAGGAGGCAGCCTGGGCTGTGCGGGGCCGGGCTGCGGTGCGAGAAGGATCCTGCAGGAGGAGGAGGAGAGGAAGAGGAGGAGGAAGAGGATGTGTGTGTGTGTGAGGAGCAGGAGGCGGTGTGTGGATCTGATGGAGTCACTTACTTCAACATGTGTCAGTTCAGAGAGGCAGCCTTCAGCAGACCAGAGCTGCAGATCAGAGTGGGGGGGCCGTGCCGGACAGGTGAGACACACACTGCGCATCACACACTAGACATTTTGCGTAATCAATGTATTGTAATTTTAATATCTTAATTCATAATGCATTCATTTGAGTTCTTTTGCACCACCTTGTAATCATTTTGCATAATTATTTAGTTTTTCGCATCTATGTATTTTAATTTTGCATCAATCTTAATTCATTACACATTCATTTATCACCTTGTAGTCATTTTACATTCATTTGTAGTCCTGTTGCATAACCTAGTGGTCATTTCCCCTTAATTATTAGTCCTCTGATGAATGTTAATCTAGAATGAAATATATTTCAGTGCCAAATTTCATTTCAAAAAGCTCCATCCCAAGTACCTCAACATTGTATTTAAGTACAGAACTCGAGTAAATGTATTATAAACAAAAAAATACAACAAATCCAGTAAAAAAAAAATGCTGTAAATCTGTGATTTTATCTCAGAGTTTTTAATAAATACTTTAATCTCGTAAAATCTAACCCGTGTGTGTGTGAGTTTGGTTTGTTGCTTCACCACCGCTAAGCTAAAGGTGGCTAATGTTGGGCTATAAAGGAACTACAGCATGGTCACATGACTTCACGTCAGAGTCCTGCACGGGTCTGATTTTCAAGACCCGCTCCCGCCCCGCACCCGCGACGTGCAATACCGAACCCGCCCCGCTACCCGCACATATTGCCAATTAGTTCCGCAACCCGACCCGACCTGTCGGCACAGGATCCGCAACCCGACCCGAACCCGCATATATATATATGAGCAGTGAAAACGTGCAATTATTAACACACGCAGTTGCATATTTCTCTCAAAAAGCGTGGGATGTTGGTTATTTTCTCCATCTAGGATGACACCAAAAGCCTCCCAGACGTTGGACTTCGCTCTTGAGGAAGTGTTATTGAAAATGCTGTATTCTCCGCTAGAGAGCTTCACCTCAGCCATTTCGAATGTGGCGCGCTCAGAAGCAGATTGATGCGCTGTAGAGGTTATGATTATGCGCGGTCCCGCGGGGGAGAGGTCTGAGGATTTAAACATTAAACTAAATTATTATTATTTAAATATATTTATTATGCAACACCCGTGACCCGACCCGCATCATCTTTGTTTTACCCAGAACCGAACCCGGAAAAAAGTGTTTGAAAAAATACCACCCACGAATCACCTTTTTTGCGGGTCACGCGGGTACCCGACCCGATGCAGGACTGACTCATACCCCTCTATTCCAGCCCTGTTTAGAGAAACGCTGATTTGGGTTCTTAACTTAAGAAAAAACACAGGTTAGCTCTGAGTGTTAGCGATGCTTGCTAATGTAAACACAGACCATATTACGTCCAAAGTGTCGCGCATAGCAACGTTTCTGATAGCAACGTTTCTGATAGCAACGTTTCTGATAGGGCCGTGGATGTTAAGCCCGCCCACATTTCAGATATTACGTCAAATCGGACGCAAATCTGGATCAGCTCCGTTGTTCCACAGTTTTTAGAGATTTGGGTACGGAGGAAAAGAGAGAGGGCTTTGTTTTCTGACACTTTGTGAGTTTCCTGACATATTTATGTATAAAAGCCATCAAAAAGTACATTTTGCATGATAGGAGACCTTTAAACCACACAATCACACAAAAGAATCAGACAGTAGATCTTGCAAACAGACGCTATTCTACAGTTTTCATTTGTACAAAACACAGACTCCAGGATCCACCAACACCACCTGCAGAGCTGCAGATACAAATGACTTCCAGCTGCAGCAGCATCCTGACTTCAGAAAGCCTTCTTCCTGCAAGCTCCCCTCACCTCAGAGGATTCACACACACACACACAGAGATCCCCTACTATCACTGCACACAACTAAGTGGTCTAAAAATAAGAAATATAACAGATACAAAACACCAGAGCATTGTTCTCTGCACAGCCTTTTAAACATCCTGCAGCTACTCTTCACTATGCAACACTGAAGACTGCTCTCTGTACCTAGAGCAGCATTTAACACACATTAAACATGCTGTATGAGGCAAGTGTATCTATAGCACCTTTCAACACAAGGCAATTCAAAGTGCTTTACAACAATGAAAGACATTAAGAGGATTAAGAAATAGTGCAGATAATAAAATATGAATAACACAGGCACATGCATAAAAGTTACAGTGCAGTGTGAGATATGAATAGTTCAAATAGAAGCAGCACCAAAAAGCTGAATAAAGATCCCTATGCAAGCAATATTTCAACAGACAGAGGCAGAGGTGGGAAGTAGTGGAGTACAAATACTTTGTTACTGTACTTAAGTACATGTTTCTGGTATCAGTACTTTACTCCACTACTTATTTTTCTGACAACTTTTTACTTAGACTTCTTACATTTTGAACACAAATACCTGTACTTTCTACTTCTCACATGTTGAACTCAAATACCTGTACTTTCTACTTCTTACATGTTGAACTCAAATACCTGTACTTTCTACTTCTTACATGTTGAACTCAAATACCTGTACTTTCTACTTCTTACATGTTGAACTCAAATACCTGTACTTTCTACTTCTCTCATTTTCCAAACAGGCTGGTTCCTTTAGTTTGAATGTGTGTTTGGTGGCGTGATCATTATTATTTAGAGTCATTGCGTGCCTATTGATTTGAACACGATCCGTGTATCCATCATTTCCTGGTC